TCTACTGGGTTCGGTGGAACCCAGGTGGGGTTCCGTCGAACCCAGCAAACTGGGTTCAATGACCTGAGGAAGAAGGGAAAGAAAGAAGAGGAAGAAAAAAAAAAGAAAAAGAGAAAGGAGGAAAAAGACCAGAATTTTTTTATTTTATATTTTAAAAATATAAATAGTAATAATGTGAGTTGGCATGGAAAAAAAAATCCACATCAACACGTTTTCAATTTATTTTTGTCACGTCATCAAAAAAATTATAAAAAATGCCACACAAGCGAGTTAACGATCGAAATTAATAGGAGGACTAACAGAGTGTATTTCTTAAAGTTTAGGGATCAAAAAAGTGCAAAAAATTATTAAGGGACCAAAAATGTGCAACTCACTAAAGTTGAGGGACCAAATTTAGCATTTAACCTAATATAATTAGTTATAGAAAGAAAAATAATGCATTAAATCACACTTTTCCTAATTTCTTTTTTCTAAGTTAGTTTTATGAAAAGTGGACATAATTAATTATAAAAAAATTAATTATATTAATATAATTACTTATTTTTTAAGATAACCAATTATATTACAAATGTAATTCATTTCCTTTGCCTTTATAATTAATTATAGTATGTAAGTCTCAATTTGCATGTAAAAACAGTTACTATTCTAAGTCAAACCTATTGAATTTTTTGTTGGGTTTCTCTCTTTCTTTTTTTTTTTAGGTGGCCAACTATGAGGCCTTGCAAGCTAGGAATTGTATAAAAAAAATTAAAAATACTACATTTTTACTTTATTTATTATGATTTTAAAATATATAAATATCAAAATATTCTTATGTGTTTTGTGAAAAAGTAAGCCAAACACCCCTTATGTAGAAATAATTTCAATTGTTTTTAATGTAATCTATTTACTTATTTATTTATTCAATGTCATCCAGTAAGATTTTACTATAAAAAAGTCTAAAGGCTAAAAATAAAATAGTGATATAAGTACAATTTTTTACATAATTTTTATACGAATAATGGTAAATAAAACTAAAATTTAATATTAAAATTTTGAATTAATAACATAATATAAGTTATATTTTTTAAAATATTAAAGGATAGTCACGTACTATGTAACCTAATGACCATTCCCTTTGTGAGAATATGCTTGGAATGTGAAAGTTTTGAAATTTATTTTCAGACACTACTCTCATTATTTCCAACAATTTCCCTAAGTCAAAAAAAAAAATATATATATATATTGAAGGTTAAAATATAAGTTATATTTTTTAAAATATTAAAGGATA